TAAAATTTCAATATTTAAAAAGCAGAGAAAAATTACTGAATGAAGGCACCTTTCAATCCCTCAGTACATAATGAACTCCCATGATGCAATGGGAGGGAGGGGATAAGGCATTAAATCAGTAAAAGGTGTGATCCCTCTGCTCGAAAGCCCCACAGTGTACCTGGAGGTGGCGAGACATTTTCCAACCACATTAAACCATGTGCAGAATGATGGGAAAACAGCACTCAGGTACCTTCAGCGCTGGTGTAGGTATTTCAAGAATCTAGTGCTTCTCAGAATTCAAAGTGGAAAAATAGTTTTCACCATTGGTACAAAAAAAGGAACAAAGTCACCCAGAATTCTCCTTAACTTCCTCTTGAGAGAATAGCATTTTTAAAACCTTTGTACCTTAACTGAAGAGAGAAAATAACTAATTCTCACTGTAGACCACTTAGTGTAAAATTTAATGAACACAAGGGATGCTGAATAAACATCAGTCACAGAGAAGGAGATTTAGGGCAGGACTCCTTCTCCCTCCTGTTCCCTTTATGTTCCTCCTTGGCTTCTGAGTGATGAATAGTAAGAATTTGGGCTCTGCTTTACTAGCTGATCTACATGTGCACACTGTAAACAGAACAACGCCTTCAATCTGGGGAAATGATCTTTCATGCTGTAATAAAAAGAAAAAAAAAATGCAACAGATCCCCCCCGCTCCCCGTTTCCCTTACAATGATAAAATGCTCTACCTATAGCCCTTGCGTTCCAGCCTCTCACATCCCAGCAGCACGCCTCCTCTTGCAGGTCACGTCTTTCACATAAAAGTGCTAAACTAATGCTGCTTAATGACAAATTAATGTCCATGAATAAAAAATACACCTCTAATAGCATAGAGTAATTTGCCATTACAATATCATCATTGGACATGCCCCTGGTTTAATACGATGTATTTAATTCATAACCTAATGAGTGATATATAAAAAGAGGGAGATGAACCCTGCAATTACATTTATGTGAGTCTGTCACCTTATTTGTAAAACCTTAAAGTCATTTACATTCAAATTAGAACAAATGAGTGATTTCACAAAGTGTGCTGATAAATGACCACAGCAGCCCAAGACAAAACTGTATTTCCTGTGAACACATTAACAGTTTCCTACTATATGTTAAAAATTACAATGTATATTGCCCAGTGTGGTGTGAATAATGACTTTTTTACTGATTAGGTCAGAAGACTAATATGTAGAAAAATAAATAATTTTTCTTTTCATTTTTTCTGATTTTTGCTTTAAATTAACTACTGAATTCTGGTGGATTCACACTGCCACCTGCTGTCTAGCAATAGATATCAGACCTATAGTCCTATCAAAAAGGGAGTTGTATATTCAGTACTTTGGTGGTTTTATTTGGAAAGTCTACATGATGGTTCTTTTTTTCAATATATTTAGATTGCATATTATGATAAAGATAATGATACTTGGTGATCATAAAGAAAGCTTGTTAATAAAACAACATAATATATTTGGGAAAGGTGATACAAAATGTATAAACTTTGTTTTTTGGAATGCTAACTACAAAAAAAGAAACACCATCAAAGCTTCTGATGCATCACTTGCAGGAAATGTAACAGGAAGTTCAGTTGCCAGTGTTTCTTATCTTATGGCATCGTGCATCAGCAGAGGCGAAGGACTCTGTGTGTGTGTGTGTGTGTGTGTGTGTGTGTGTGTGTGTGCGTGCATGTGAAATTTTCCCCACTCCTACCCTTTGGTAAAATCTAAAGGGGACTGAGAAGATGTGCCTGCCACTGAGGATCTCCACCAGTAAATCTTCTCCCCTAATGGCAAGTCCCAATATGAAAAGTCTGCCTTAAGGTCCAGAAAAAGCAGGCTAGGAAAAGCACTATGGCTGGAGATGAGGCTAGGGAGGAACAGGCCTGGACTTGAAGATGAGGCTAAAGACTTCTGTTGGTGAAATAATCCACCTGCATGATGATCAGGGTAGCTAAGGAAAGTTTTCAAGCCAGATCAGCGTCCTAGTTCTGAATTTAAGTTTCTTCATCTGTAAAAAGAAAAGAATACCCACCTGTATGAAGGGGTGACTTAACAGTGAAAATGTGAGTCCCTGAAAACACTCAGCGTGGATAGACCCTCAATATATGTGGTTCCCTTTCCTGGGAAAGCTAGTGATGCTCTGGGGACCATGGTTTACCACAGACTGAGGCTAGAAACAAGCACACTGCTCAGAGGGGACTATATCCTATAAGCAAGAATAGTGGGAGCCTAAAGAAAGGCAAAAACACTCCACACCCCATCAATTAGTGTCAAGTTCATTGCCCAGCTTTCCCTTATTCCCATAAACATGCTTTGAGAACCCATGAGAAGGTTAATTAGGGGGCTAATTCAATAGCTGTCCTCATGGACACAGAGGAGCACTGCTCCTGCAATTTAGGGTTCCTGCTCTCAGCAGCCTGCCAGAGGAAATGCAAGAGAAAGTAGCCCACATAGTGCCAGGTGTCCCTTTCCCTTTCAGGAGGGCAGCAGCACCATTTACATGTTCAGAGGAACTGCAGGCCAGTGAGGCTCAGGGAGCTTCCATCAAAGGTTCTCCTTGGACATACTTTGTAATGAGCCCTAGAGGTCAATGGGATATTTGAGCAGGCCTTCCCTTCACTCCTCTGGCAGAGAAACCAAAGAAAGAATGACATTTTAAGAACAACAAAACAATGCCAGGCATCTTAGTGAAGAGAGTGGTTTCAAAAACTCCTAGTTGACAAAGAACCACACAAAGATGGGGAATGTATCAGCATTGATTGATGGGGCACAATTTCTGGGTACATTTTAAACACTGGCAATTTTTCACATTAACAAAATGTTATTTTTATATATTCAATCAAATAGTCCCACATTAAATTAAAAATCAGTTGAACAATATTACCGAAAAATAGCAAATAAATATAGCTATGAGACTATAGCAAAATATAAAAGTAGATTCAATTGACCCTGTCTTTGATTTCTATAATCCTAAGGAAGGATTATAGAAAGGAAGGAGAAGGGTATATATTTTTAAAAGGCTGAAATAAGGGTATATGATTTTGGTATTCATATAGTCAAAGTTTCCATCTACAAGTTTGACATCTTGCAATAATCACAGATAAAAAGAAAAAGTAAACTTACATGACAAAATGAAAACATTTGTGAAAAGACAGTGAAAGTTTCAACCACTATTCAAGAAGCCTGAATAATAACTGTCCACAAAATATATCTGTAGGCATGCTATATTTTTACCTCGGCAAAATAATGAAATGTAGAAGTTAAATTCCAAAGTATACAAGTCACTTAGTATCTCAACAAATCACCTATCTGACGAGATGGGGAAAGTACCCATGAACGTTTACTGTTCATCTGGGATTCTCACTTACAGAAAATTACAGGCTTAGGTATACCCACACACCCATGCATGTACACACCGCTTATAATGTGCATCATGATAACTAACACTGTATCCAAACTGTGTCAACATACATCCCTGATTACTATCTGCCACGGGGAAAGTGAATCAGGTGATGATGCATGAAGCCCAAGTTGTAATATTTGATGTAGAAATGTCAAATAAAAGTAATTTCAATTTCACAAGTCAAACACACACTTCTGAAGTCTTATAACCTTTCTCCATGATTCCCATTTGCTACAGGCAGAAAGGGATTAAAAACAGCTTTCCCATACCACCTAACAATATCGAGGGGAAAGAAAGGAAAATAAGGTAAAAAAGTGTTAACCATTTACTGTTAGATTAAATGTGCTGAGATAATCATAAGAATTCCATCTACTGTATTTGAATTTTCCTCAGGTGAATATGGCTGACCTTACTCACACTGTCTCCCTGGAAAGTGATGGTTCCTATTTTCCAGGGTTGCTGGGAAGATTAAATAAGATGCTAGGTGAGCATGAGCTTTGTAAACTACCTAACAGGTAACAGAAGTCAATGATAAAAGTATATATTTAAAATTAGAGAAAATGATTTAAAAGGAAAATAAATTAATTGGGCAGGAAAACAAAAGTCATCTGCTCACTAATATGTCATATGCACAAAGACAGCAGAATTAAATTGTGTGGTGACTTTATCATTTCTTCAAATTAATTTTGTAATGGTATAATAAATGCAAGTGAAGGTGACACCAGTGGGGGAAATGGGAGGATCCTAAAGTTGGAAATTAGTTAGTAATGCTCTGCAAAGTCCAAAAGACTCATAGCCATGCTGTCTGCCTAAGATGCCCCTTAGACTCCTACCTAACAAGGAGTTTTCATCCAAGAAAGAAATGGTCTTTGGAATCAGAAAATCCTACCAACCATATTACCTCAGGCAAGTTGGATACAGTTTGAGTCTCTGATTTTTTAAATCTATAAAAATCTGCAAAGTTATCGTGAGGACTGAATGTGAAACAATGGTGAATACACAGTCAGTGGTTGGTGTTCAGAAGTTTTATCTCCCTCCTTCTCAGGGAGCCTTTCCTGACCAGCAAATCAGGGGAAGAATGTGCACATCACTCATCCCTTCTCCAGCATTTACTGCCTGGGAAGGTAACATGGTAATTAATTACATAGGACTTTGTGATTTACTAGATACTGTTACTGAAATCTTCAATGACTATTAGTCTTTTCTTACATTTGTGATTATTTCCATAACCAGACAATATTGCTTTGGACTAGGACTCCTTTCAGTGTCACCTCCTCAGTCCCCTATAGAGAACCCTGCATGTGGTCCCTGAGTTAATTGGCTGCTCGAGGGTCTTGGGGACCTAAGGTGGGCAGGAGAGTGGAGGAAAACTCCCACTTCCGTAACTGGATGCAAGAGCTGCAGCTGCCCTCCTAGGAGCCTCCCAGTTAGTGTCCTGGAGAAACTCTACTGCCACAGCCCACACTCCACCCCCACTTTACCTGTCATTCAGCTCCAGTTGGTGAGGGACAGCTTATGACTGTGGGGAAAGGAATGTGAAGGGTGTACGAGCAGGATGCAAGCTCACGTACCTGGATGAGATAGTGGGAGCATAAATTGAGAAGCTCCAACAGCTGTAGGTGACTGCCTGCTGCTAGCACATCCTGGATCACACCTGGCTCCAGTAGAATCTGTTTTTTTAACAAAAAGAAAACTATCAGTTACACTTAAAATATAATACTGCTTACTATGTAGATATACCATAGTATACTTAAATTGCTGCTTTACATACTGTATTTCAATTAACACTGTTCCTTTTCACGGAAGTCAGTTCTTCTCTTCCTGTTCTGGTTAATGAGTTGTGACCCTTACTCTAACAGCTGATTTTCTCTTTACTGCATGTGCTGATATCATTGTGGTGTGTGAAGCTCTGCACTTAACTACTTATTTTTTTTAGGAGGTTATAAATATTTTCAAAGAACAACATAACCCTCTTAAAATTCAGTTTGTGATGTAATTATAAGATACGAAAGAACTGAGTTTTTCAAAGTATATTTCAGAATTTGGCTCTTTAGTAGACCACAGAAGCAGGTATTTTAGGGAAAGGGGCATATGTTTCTCCTTGCCATATGAGACCAGAGGTGGATATTACTCTATTTTACTTCTAAGTCCTACAACATTTAACTTCATCCATAAACTTCCATTTTCCTCTTTCTCTGTCCCAGATTCTCTTATTGTTTCTATTTAAAATAAAAGATGTTCAACTAACAATTTCAGAATACAAAGATATCACATAGAGGTAAGACCTTCCAAGTATGCTGGTGATATCAACACTTCACTTTATTTAGTTAAGTCCAATTATTTACCTGCTGCTGCTAGCTCTTGAGCAGCTGATCAGGGCTGGAAAAAGGCACATGACCATGTTGACAAAATTTGCATGCATTAGTGCCAGGGGCAAGGAGGCCTTTAGTGCTGCCCTGACCCTCCATTTTAAATCATTTCCCCAGCCCAGTGTTTCCAGAATTCTGGTCTCTGGACCAGCAGCATTGGCATCACCTAGGTACTTATGAAACTGCAAACTCTTGGGTGCCTCCCAGACCTCCTGAATCAGAAAGTTTCAGGGTGAGGGAACTAGTGTTTTAACAAGTGTCCTGAGTGGCTCTGATGCACAGGACGCATGAGCAACACTCACTGGTCAATTCACCTTTCCACTCTACTACTTCACCACACTCCTTTCTCAAGCCTCCAACTCCTCCTCTGCCTCCAGATTTTCACTTCATGGTCTTTGAAAACTTCTTACCACCAAATCTACCAACGCATCTACCTGCATCTGTATCAGTACCTTTTGCTCTTCCCAACAATCTGCTTGTATGCTTGATCCCAACCCCTTCTGCCTGCAATCCTCCCTTTTGTTCCTGCATCACTATAGGTTCTCTTTCTACTGGATGGAGCCTCAGGGTCATGCTTGACTCTTGTTTTCCTTAGGCCTTATACCTAATCCATCCGCCAGTCCTATTGGCTCTATCTTAAATAGTTTCAAAATCCAATCACTGCTCATGACTTCCATCGTCACAGCTTTAGTCCAATCTACTCCTCTTCCTACACTTAACCGTAATCAACTCCTAACTAGTTGCACTGTTCTTTCCTTTATCCCCTCACACTATTGGAATATCAACCAAACTGGTTCTTTAAAAACACAAATGAAATCATTTTATGAAATCAGATTTTATTCAGAACTTTCTGATGACTTTCCTTCTCATTAAAAATAAAATCCAAAAAGTCTTGACTATAACCTAAAAAGTTCTTGAATATGCTGAGCACCTTGGTGTTTACAACTAGCTGTTTGCTCCACCTGGGTCACTCTCTCATATCCTTCAGATACCGCCTTACCTGAGATGCCTCCCCTGACCATCCTGTGTAGAAGAGTAACCCACCCCTGAACAGCCACTATTCCCTAGCTCCTAACTTTTATTTTTCACCATAGTGCTTGCCACCTCACATTATATATCTTTTTGCCTATTTACTTATTTTTCTCTGCTCACTATAAGTTTCAGGAGAGCAGGGACTTAGTCTGTTTTGTATCCCCAGCACTTAGAACAATGTCCAGCACACATAGCTGTTGTTCACTATTCATGAAGTTAGTTAATAAAAATACTGATGAATTAATTGATCTCTACACATATTTTTATGTTAGAATAAATTTTAACTAATTTTATTAACCAATCTAAAGAAAGAAAAAAAAAGAACTCTACATTTCTAAACTAGCAAGTAAAGAAGTGAAAACGTTAAGCAAATATGGCAAAACTACCAACAGTCATCTTGTTCTGAAAAATCTTTATAGCTCCTTTTCCATCTAGTCAAAAAGAGAAACCCGGATTTCTACAACTCCTCAAGGAAGGAGGCTTTGACTGACATTCAGGAAATTAGTGCAGCTCCCATAAGAGGAGCAAGGATGTCGTATAGTCTTGCAGAAGAGGCATGGCCTAAGGAGCAGAACGGGGAATAGAGGGATTAGAAAGGTTGGTTTTAGCCTTTAAATCCTGTCAGTTGCGCTCATTTCACACAACTGGCATTTGTGATAACCTCCAAGGCTCACTAATAGCAAACACAAAGACAGAGATCATAGAGAGACAAGATGAATATTCCATAGCATGTGTTACACGTCCAGCAGGCTGACTTCCAGAAGCCTGCCCATCAAAAACCCATCCGGGGATTGTTTTTGTCCTTTTTTATTTTTTGTTTTGCAGTTTTTTTCCTTCCACTCATTATAAGTTTTTCTAAAATATGCTTTAGCACAGAAAATCTCTAAGTGCTTTTAAAGGGTTGGATAAAGAAACCCCACCAGGAGAGCCGTTCTCACTTATGGAAACAGAACCAGTGTTTGCAAACCCCACTGTACTGGAGGCTTTTAATTCAGCTTTGTTGCTCTTTGGTGACCGGCTGTTCTAATATAATTTTCTAGGGAATTTATGTTTGGCCAGTAATAAAAACAAAGGTCCAATCTCCTCATGATTTACAGTGTGGTGAATTTATCTGGCATCTGCCTTGAAGGACTAGCCAAAAGAACAACCTCCACAGAAAAAAGGGATCTCAAACACACAGGTTTATGGAGGACAGCTAAGACAGCTGCATTTAACTTCTGCCAAGCATTGTATTTAGGTATTTCAGAAACATGCCCATCAACATGTAGTCTGACACTCAAACCAGGACCAGATAGGAAGAAGGGTCACTCAAGGACCACCTGCAGGAAGGAAGGGATGTTCCCTGAGATATGGAAGCACACAGGGTGGGAATAGGAGCTAATGTGCTAATGTGAGTGGCCTGAACATCCAGTCACTCATCAGTCTGGAGGAGGATATCTCAGCTAGGAGCATAAACAGTGGACAAGACAAAATGTCTTAAAAACAAGAGATCAAGGAAATGCTAGATGCATAACGCCAAGTGGTCCAGAATGCAGTGGGGGGTGGGGGGAGGGAAACCCTAAAATAAGCCAAACTAGGCTGGGCATTGACTCTAACCTCAATGGTGCTCACCTGCTTGGGTGGAGCTCATCTGTAGAGCTGGGGCTTCTCCAGATTTACAAACAGGTTTTGATGCAACCAGAGGCAAGCTTAGGTGGGGCATGAATGTCTCTTGTTCACAGGCCCATCTGTAAAGAGGATTCTTTCTCTGCCTGACCTCCAGGTGGAAGAACACAAGGGGCTGTTCTCGAATGAGGGAGCTGGACAGTGCTAGTGGGGAGATCACTTCTAGCCTCACCTCACCAAATAATGAGATGATCACATCTCATTACTTGGGTCTGGCCCAGGAGCCTCTCCTGCCCCTTGTAGCAGGCAAGGTCATATAAATGAGGAGAGGGCCACGGCTGATCCCAATTCCAAATGCTGAAACTACACTCATTTGGATGGGGATAAGAACCGACCAGTGGCTGTACTTAGGGTGACAGAATGGTGTGACAAAGTAATAGTCTAAAAGGGCAAGAGAAGGGTATGGGTACCTGGTAAGAGAAATTATGTCAGAATTCAGTCATGAGGTGGCCCAGTTACCCTCCTGGTAGGAGGCACTCTTGAATACTCTGCCAATATGTCCTCTGGTCACCAATCCAAGCAGGGTTGGTAGTAGACAGGTTAATTTGCATAATCCCCAACAAAGGCCCTTTAAACTGCATAAAACTGGGACTCCTGGTCCTCAGGAAGAATATGGGGCCAGCAACTGGTGAAAGAGGAAGGGAATGGGACCTGAGGGAGATTCTGTGCATGGGATGATACATGGGCCACATCAGTCAGTGCCCACACCTCACTGGGGGGGTTCTGGGAGGGTGGAGCTGGGATTGAGCAGTGGGAGCAGGGACAGCCCACAGTCCCCAGGGTGTCCCTGCCCCTCCTTCTTCAGCTTATCCTCCTCATAAGGTGTCCATTCTCTCAACTCTGTCTTCTTTTTCTCTTTATTTTCCCTTTCCCTTTTACCTTGCCTCTTGGATTGGTGGCTGGTAGGGACTGCCTTTAACAGCCATAGTAAGTCTCAGTGTGACCTTTTTTTCCTGCCTGTGAACAAGTAAGTTGGCATCTTCAGAAAATTTTGTATCTTCAGGTCTTCAAAGCTATCTTCTTCATTTTTTGCACAAGAAGATTTTAAAATTACTTACTTCTTGGTTTATGTGCTTAAGGATTTGAGCATGTTAAAGTCAGATAACTAAGGTCTATAATAAACACATATACAATGTGCACACATGAACAACACACTTTTGCAAGCAAAATAAGCACATGTACAACTGCAGATTAGAGTGGTCTAATATTATTTATGAGAATAAATGAATATATTTCCTCCTTTATATTTTGTTTCTTTGGGTTTTTTTCCTGTATAGTATTACAGGATGGCAAATTATCAGAATCTTGAACTTATAATCATCAAATGAACTGGATACAACAGCATAAATAGCTTTTAAATGATCATATATTCAAAACATATAAAATCTTTTGCATAAAGTTCTTTATGACAGAATTCTTACAGATGGAACATGAAACGTAAGATCTAGCTAGCTATGAGAAATTGCCACCAATCTAGTTTTAGTTTCAAAACCACTGCACTAAGGACTTTTTATCCACAAGGTGGCACCCATTTAAAGGAAAATAATTTTCTAAATTGAATCATACACTGCACATCTATATCTGACACCTTAAGTTTATTTTGA